CATTGCGAAAGTGCTGGAATCCATTATCAAGGAATTGGTAAAAGGGCACTTGGATACTTCTCTTCTACTATTGAATTTATTTTTGTTTGATAGCCCATTCAAGAAAAGCTAAGTCAAAGTATCTCATCAGCAATCCTGTAATTTCAGTGTAACCTCGTGAAATTATCTTGCACATCTCTCAGTGGCCTTGTCCATGGCGTTATTCTACTTTGTTACACAAGTGTCTATCAAATATTTCACAGTTTGTTTTTATACCTTTAATATTTTAATTTCATTACTTACTTTGAATTATTGTTATTTCTATTTATCCTGTTTCCTAGGTTCGTAATCCCTTTTAGCATCTTCATTAGTTTGAATGCGTTTTTTTCTTGCAGTTTATCTTCACTTCTACTTATCCACATTATTTCCTTACCATTTGCCTGGATGAATGCAATTCTACGAAGATTCAATAAGCTTGACACAGCCATGAAAAAGCAATCTACTTGATTAGCACCACATCAAAAAAAAAATCACACTCTCCACCATCAACGCTCAGCAGCAGTGCGTACCATCTACAAAATGCACTACTATAATTTACCATGGCACCTGAAATAGCACTTTCCAAACTCATGACTACGATCATCTAAATGGACAAGAGCAGCAGGTGCATGGGAACACCACCACCTGCAAGTTCCCCTCCAAGCCACTTGCCATCCTGACTTGGAAGTATATTGCCATTCTTTCATTGTGCCTCAGTCAAAATCCTGGAACATCTTCCCTATTATTATTGTAGGTCTACTTATAATCAACTGGACTGTTGTGGTTCAAAGCAACAGCTCACCACACTTTCTCAAGGCAAATTGGAGTGGGCAATAAATGTTGGACCAGTGAATGATGCCCACTTCCCATAAATCATAAAAGTTTACCTTCACAACAAAAATACCAGGGTCATTTAAGCACTTCTGAGAAAATGATCAATCCTGCTTCACTAATAACATTTAATCTTTGAACTTGACACTGTTCTACCTTAAGTTTCCGTTCCTACTATTGAATGCAACTTCAATTGTTGAGCCTTACTATTAAATTAGTTAAATCTTCTGTTAAAGGAATAAGATTGGCCAAGATAAAACCTAGACAATATTTATCACATTGCTACCTATAGGAACTTCTCAGTCAATTTGTGGACAGCATTTTCCCCATTACAAGCCTTCAAAAGTACTTAATTGGCTGTGAAGGTCTTTGAGAGCAGTTCTGAGACAGCAGAGAGAGAAAAACATCCTGATGTCAGATAAAAACCTTTACTTTCGAACTGATTATTTTTGGAAGTTGTAAGGTCGGGCTGTAAGGTGCACAATGCCTAATAGTATGATAAGCAAAGTGCTTTTACTGACTGTTATAGTAGCCCTGATCTGGGATATGGGCAACTCTGCTCCCAAATTATATGTTTGGCCGCAATGCCTTCAAAACAACTAGGGGAAGGAAATAAGTGCTCGTGTCAACCATGTCCCAGGGACAAAAGACAAAATCAACCACAGTTTGGAGAAGTAATGACAAGATCTGCAAGAATTCTCATTTATTTAGGACAACAAGCTAATTAAGCTTTGGGTGACCAAAGAGTTAACAGAAAGAAAACGGTGTGGCTAGAAATGCATAAAAGGTCTGGTGTAAAAGAGAAAGATGGGTTTATCTTCCCGGTGGAACCCTACAACTGAAAGAGTTTCAGGTAGACAGGCTTTGGAGAGCTTTCCCAACCTTTAACCAGCTTTTGGAGCCACTGTTTTTATATGGCGAATCCAGTTGACTTTCCGGTCAATGGTAACCCCCAGGATGCTGATAGTGGGGAAATTCAATGATAGTAAGACCAATGAATGTTAAAGGCAACGCTTAGATTGTCTCTCATTGGGGATGGCCATTGCCTGGCATTTGTGTGGCATAAACGTTACTAGCCACTTGTCTGCCCAAGCTTGGATATTGTCCAGATCTTGCTGCATTTGAACATGGACTGCTTCAGTATCTGAGGAGCCACAAATAGTGTTGAATATTATGCAATTATTGGTGAACATCCCCACTTCTGACCTTATGATGCAGGGAAGGTCACTGATGAAGCAGCTTAAGATGTTTGGGCTAGGACAATACTCTAAGAAACTCCTGCAGAGAATTCTGAAGCTGAGATGACTGAACTCCAACAACCAAGACCGTCTTACTACATGCCAGGTAGGACACCAACAAGCAACGGATTTGCCTCCTGATTCCCGTGGATTCCAATTTTGCTAGGGCTCCTTAAGGTTACACTCAGTTGATTGCAACCTTGATGTCAAGGACTGTCACTCTCACTTCACCTCTTCTGACCATTTTTGAACCAACACTGTAATGAGGTCAGGAGCTGAATTGCCCTGGCAGACTTAAACTGGGCATCAGTGAGCAGGTTATTGCTGAGTAGGTGCTGTTTGAACACTGTTGAAGACATCTTCTGTCACTTTATTGATGGTCAAAAGTAGACTGATGGGGTGGTAATTGGCCTGTTGGATTTGTGCTGCTTCTTCTATATGTTCCTGCAGTCTTTATAGCATCAATAATTTATCTAATTCCTCATGGCCTACTGGCTGCTGTTGCCAATGGCATTAAATCACCTTTCAGCCACTGGAAACAGTTCCTCTTAATTTAGGCTATCTGCATCTTTCATGATTTTAAACATTTTTATCCAATTTCCTCAGCCTTTGCCATTCCAAAGATAACAACCTTGGTGTCTTCAACCTATTGATGCTACGCTGATCCCTCTTCCTTGAAAACAGGGATATTTCTATTGGCTAGGGAATCTCGAGCAGGGGAGTAGTATCTTAGGACAATGGGCTAATCAGGTGAAGAAAAATTTATTCAAAAGCTTGTGAAACTTAGAAATTCTCTAGCAGTTTGTGGATGCTTCATCATTAATGATACTTAAGGCTAAGATAGACAGATTTTTGGTCTCTCTCTGGGAATCAAGGAATATAGAAATAGGTGGGGAAGGGGACTTTTTCCATCAGTTAGGGATGAGCAATAAACGCTGGTCTTGCCAGCAGTTCTCATATCCAAAAAGTGAAGTTTAAAACAAAAAATAATTTTCAACTCTATTAATAAAACTACACAAGATTAACAGTCTTAAGAACTGTCAAGAAAGACTTACTAATGGTCCATTACAGTGCCAGATGATGTTGAGTGATAGAATATTTTGTGGGAAAAGTGGAAATTCTACCTGAAACTATACTGAAGTACAGACCAATTCTTCAAAAGACGTTCAGCATTGTCCTTACAACCACATATAAATGACGTTACATTCAAGTGTAAAACAACCCATCATCCTCCACATTCAACATAATATTTGGATTGTTGGTTTAATAATGAAGCAGTACATTGTTTACGAACTACTGTAGGAGCAGAAATAGGCCACTTGGGCCCTCGGACCTGCTCTGCCTTTCACTCAGATCACGGTTGATCTGATTACTCCAAAATCCCAACTGTTCACAATAATCTTTCACCTTATCAATCACCTCTGCCTAAAAACACTCAAAGACACTGTTTCCACCACCTTTTGGAGGAAGAGGTTTTCAAAGACACACAGCCTATGTGGGAAAAAGTTTCTCCTTATTTGTCTTAAATGGACAATTCCTTTTTGTTTAGAAAGAAGTACAGCGATTCCTTGTTTTGGAATTTCCCAAAACAGGAAACATCTCTCCATGTCCCTCTATCGAGAACCCTCAGGATGTTATGTTTGAATGAAATGCTGCTTACTCTTCTAAATTCCAGCAGATACATACCTAGCCTACCTATCCAACCTTTCTTCATAAGGCACCTTCTCATTCCAGGTATTAGTCTAATAAACCTTCCATGAACTGCCTCCAGTTCTTCCTTAAATGATGTGACTAATATTGCGCACAGTACTTTCAAATGCAATGGCACCAATATCCTGTCTAACAGTCGCTAAACCTCCATACTTTTGTACTCAATACCCCTCAATAAATGATAATGTTCTATTAGCTTTTTAAAGCATTTGCTGTACCTGTACACCAAACATTTGCAATTCATGCATTACCATGCCCAGATCCCTCAGCATCTCATAGCTCTCACCATTAAGATAGTAAGCTTATTTTTTATTCTTCCTGTTGAAATAGACAATTTCACATTTTACCACATCATGCTCTATTTTCCAGATCTTTGCCCATTCACATAATCCATCTAAATTACTGTGTAGCTTCCTTCCTCATGTCCTCTTCACAATTTACTTTCCTATGCATCTTTCTATCATCAGTAAATTTAGCAACCACATATTTGGTCCATTTGTCCAAGTAACTTACGATCATTGTAATAAATTGAGACCTCAGCACCAATCTCTGCAACTCACATCTTGCAAATCAGAAAAAAAGACACATTTATTCATCGCATGTTACTTCCCTGAAGAACTTCAATAAAATGGTTGGCTCTGCCTGATTAACCTGAACTTTTCTATACGTCCTGCTCTACGGTTTCTATTAAAAGCTTCTAACATTGCCCATACGAGAAATATTCAAATAACTAGACTGTTGTTTCCTGCCTTCTCTCTCCCCGCTTTGAATTTGCCATCTTCCGACCGAACAGAACCTTCCCTGACTCAAGGCAATAATGGAAAATTAAAACCAAGGCATCAACTATCTCATGAACCTTTTCTTGTACAACCTGACAACAGGGTCCATCAAGACCTAAGAAACTGTAACCCACAGCTTAAGCAATATGTTCCATATCACTTCTTTGGAGATTTTTTGAGTTCCTCCCTCCCTTCCATTTCTTGGTTTGCAGCAATTTCTGAAATATTACTTGTGCCCTCGAAACTGAAGACTGAGGCAAAATACCTGCTCAATTCACCTGCCATTATTAATTCCCAAGGCCCAATCCCTCTAAACAGCTGTTCATTTTGTTTCATTTCTTTTGTAAAATAGTCATAGAAACTTACTGTCTTTTGCTTTTGGAATCTGCAACAGATTCAGTTAGAGGCAATTAATTTCCAATACCTGAATCAAAGGGTACTTTGGTTCAGCAGGGCCTCCTCCAAAGCCATTTACACCAATAAAGCTGCTGCTGAAGTATGAGTTGGTGAGGCTGTCTGGTAACGTTGCATCCATCCCTGGAACTGAAAAATAAAGAAACTTAATTAAAAAGATCTTTGAATCATTTTCAGCTGAATGATAAAAACAATAGAAAGTCAAGAAAGCAATCTGACAATTATTAATTTAGCATGCTGATGCTAATTATGGGGGAAAAAACACTGGCATTTTGTTGCCCACTCTCAGCACAAGTCTGCTTTCTTCCAATAGAATTTTACAAATTAGTACCTTGATAAGCTACTTCAGAATGTAATAACAGGCAATTTTTTGCCGCAAGGTTGTAGATCGGACTGAGATTGAAATACAATTTTCTTACAAATGAAGGAAATTACTTTATTTTTTCAAACCTGGTTCCAGCCCTTAAGGGCTAGGGGGATTTACTGAATTCAAAATCATACTTACCAGTAACTATTAAACCTATCTAGACAGGACAACACTCACATTCTGTTGAAATTCAAAAGTTGTTGGAATACATTGCCAATATTTATGCTAGATCATTTTGCTTATACGTTGCTTTTTTAAATTACTTTTTTTTGCTCAGAAACTAAGAAGCAAAGATATTCTTGTACTGAATTACACTAATCACAAAAGCCAAGCTAAAGAGATCATGGAATTACATAACATTATATTGTATTTGCAATGCTTAAACATGTTGAATCAAGAACTCAAATCTGGTATCTACGCTCTTTTCAAGTCTCCATCCACTTTAGTTCATCTCATCCTTTCAAAACATCTCATAAGGCTCATCTACGCTTTTTGCATCACCAACACGTTGCTTCCTGGAGTTATGTTACATATTCAAAATTTTGTAGGTAAGGAAACATCTTCTGAATTCACAGTTGGATTTTGATGTGGACTATTTTATATTTCTGACACCTAGTTCTGTTTTCACCTATGTTGCTATCCTACCTGATGTTAATATGGTCAAGTCAGATCACGAAGAAATTTGGCTTGACTGACAATTTTTACTTCTGTCTACTGTGACGGTCAGTTACTGAGTGTACTCACAAGGTGCTACCAATACACTTAACAAAAAACATTAGATGTTTATCACACAAAAGAAAAAAACATTAACGAGTAGAGTCTATTGTAAAGGATGTAATACTATTTAGCATTTAGAAACTTAATATAATCAAGCAGAGTCAGCATGGTTTCACTAAGGAAGGGAAATCATGCCTGACAAATTTATTACAATTCTTTGAGGTAATAAGCAGGGTAGATAAAGGGGAACCAGTAGATGTAATATCTTTCGGAAATCCAAATGTATTTGAAAAGGTCCTGCACATACAGTTAATGAGAAACAAGTCCATGGTGTTGCAGGCAATATATTTGCATGGAGGGGGGACTGGCTAACAAAAATAAGACAAAAGTTGGGACAAGGGGGCCATTTTCAGGATGGCAAACTGTAACTAGTGGAGTGCCAAAGGCATGAATGCTGGGGCCACAACCGTTTACAATATGTATAAATGACCCAAATGACAGAAGTGGATGTACTATCACAAAGTTGGCAGGCAACACAAATAGGTGGAAAGGCAGGTAGTGTGGATGACACAGATCGCAGCTGGAATACTGTGAACAGTTTTGGCCCCTTTGTCAAAGAAAAGATTAAAGACAGTTCTCAGGTTCACTAGGTTGATCCTGAGTACAGTGATTTTTTTTTTTTAAAAAGAGGACAAGTGGAGTAGGTTAGGCTTGCATATTGGAGTTTAGCAAAATGAGAGGACACCTTACTGAAACATACGATTCTTGGAGGGCTTGACATGGTAGATGTGGAAAAGGTGTTTCCTCTTCTGGGAGCATCCAGAACCAAAGGACATAATCTTAGAGTGAGCAGTAACCCATTTTAGAAAGAGATGAGGAAATCTTTTTCTTTCCCAGGCACTGGTAGGTCTACAGAATTCTTTATCTCAGAGGGTTGTCAAATACATTTGAGGTAATCAGTAAGAGAAGCAAGGGTTATGGGGAGAAGACGGAAGTTGAGTTGAGAATCTGATCAGCCATGATCTCAAAAGAATGGCAGAGCAGACTCAAAGTGCAGAATGGCCTACTTCTGCTCCAGTGTCTAATGGTCCTATAATCAAGAATAATTTGAAAGATCTCACTACAAACATCAGAAGGTTTCATTCCATTTATCCAAACAGACATTCAAATCTCAGTAAAGAGTCACCCCATCATCACATGAAAGCTTTCTGTTCATCCATCATGGCTGTAATTGGTTTCCTTCTGACAAACTTCTGTGCATTCAGCAGATGTTATTTTCTTAAGTTAATGCTTGTCTGATTCAGTTCACTGATACTTAGCAACGGATTCTCTAAACTCACATGACGTCTTACTCTCGGACAGGCCCAGTGCACCCTTCTGCTTCTACAGCTTTCTTCTCACTGACTCTGAAGTACCACAGGACTTCGCCCAAACTTGACTGCTTGGAGACTGCAAATAAGTGCAACTGTTCTGTTATGAGCCTCTTTCCCTCTCTACCCCTGCACAAGCCTATTTGTGGTCCCTCTCTCTGGGAGTTGTAAAACTCAAACATCTACAGTAATTATTCCCCCAGATGTCAAGCTGGTTACTTCGTTGAAATTATACAACTCTTTCTAAATGCTGCTTTGAACTCAAAGCAACTTTCTGACCTTTAAAAGAATGGTGAGATCTTTACACAACTGAAAACTAAAATCCATTTTCCCTCCACTTTAGAGCCCAAGTACTCAAATAATAAATTATGAAACTTCATAACATCTACAGTGACAACATTTTCTCTATGTTTATTCCACCAAATCCTTTCATAATCTTGAAAGTGTCTTCTGGTGAACCCTTGGTCTTCGCTTTTCTGGTAAAATGAAGCCTGTTCAACCTTTCTACTAAATTAATCCTTATCCTCTCCAGGACATATATTCTTGCATTATGATGAACAGAACAAACAACATTATTTCTACAGTGATCCAACAAAGACTTTATATAAATGGTTACTTGATAGTACATAACTAGAATACTGTTGAAAAGAAAAAGTCTGCCATTGAAGCTTTCCATCTCACATGCAGGACAAAATAATAAGAATATCAAAATCTCACAAGGTAAGAACAATTTACACTGCATGAGAAAAGGCTGATGATCGGTTGAGGTGCTGCTATGGAGAATGCACCAAGGAACAATTAACTGTTAAGATTTTCATTTATATTTTAGTTTCTAACTAAATAAAGGCTTAGGCTTAGAAGACATTTCCTCTTGCATTCACCATGGCAATGCCCTAACCAATCAGGATCCACTTGTCAACTCATCAGTACTCTCTCCATGTACAGGAAATTACTATCCCCTTTTAAATTAGGTATTCTTACTATTTTTTATTCACTTTGTGGGATGAGGGCATCATTGGCAGCCAGTATTTACTAGATGCCCTCGAAGGTAGTGGTTAACTGCTTTCTTGATCCACTCCAGTCCACCTGCTTCTTTTCACCCACAATGCCATTAGGCAAGGAATTCCAAGATTTTGAGCCAGCAACTGTGAAGGAACGGTGATATATTCCCTAGTCAGGATGGCGAGTGGGTTGGAGGGGAAATTGAAGGTGGTGTTGTTCCCATATATCTGCTGCCTTCATCCTTCAGATGAAAGCAGTCGTTTAAGAAGATGCTGTCTGAGGACCTTTGGTGAAATTCTGCAGTGCATCTTGTAGATTATACACACTGCTGCTTGTAAGCAGTGAAAAGTTGTGGAGCATCTATCTTAACGAACGCAGCTTAAAGGTTTCAATAGCCTCTCGTCGTCTTTGATTAAGATACTATAGGTTTAACAAATTCTCTGCTTTCAATCTCACCTCTCCAGAACTATATCACCTATAATTTCCTGAAGGTGCTCCCAGGTCCCCCACTGTAACAGTAATAGTGAACATTGACAGAAGCCTCCTGTAAAGTGTGCAGACCCCTATTTCAAGGAGTTGGGAAAAAAGACAAGTTAAGTTTCATTTATACAGAAATGATCATACCCTTTCTGGAGTACTCTATTCAGTGTCGGCACTACACCTTAGGAAATGTGACAACTTTGGAAAGCACCAAATTTACCATGTTGTTGTCAAAAGAATTAAATTAACACAGCTGCACAACTATAGCTTAACCTAACTTCAAAATAGGGAATAGAAGAAATGCAGAAATAAGCACTGAAACATGTCATTCATTCCACAAGTCCATGTCAATGTTTAAACACTGTTTCAGTCCCCTCCAATCTTTGCTTATCCAAATCTACTATCATAACAAATAAAAATCGAAAGAACTGCGGATGCTGTAAATCAGGAACAAAAAAAAAGTTGCTGGAAAAGCTCAGCAGGTCCAAGGAAGGGTCAGTGGACCCGAAACGTTCACTGTTTTTCTCCTTCACAGGTGCTGTCAGACCTGCTGAGCTTTTCCAGCAACTTTGCTTTTGAGTCTACTGTCATAACACTCTTCTCCTTTAGAATCTTGACAAATTTCCACTTAAATATATCTGTACTGTTTGCTTCAACCACTACCTATGGTAGGTGGCTGAGGGGTGATCAAACTGTGGCATTTAAAATAATAAGTTATTTGATAGAGTACAGAGAAGCTAGTTCCACTGGCAAAGAATCCAGAAAAGTGGGCACCTTCATAAAATTAGAGCTGCATCATTAAGAACAAAACAAGGAAACTGTTCTTCCATGCAAAGTTTCCCAGAAATGTGGAATCTTCTCCATCAAAAGCTTGTGGATTCTCGACTAAATTAAAAGTTAAGATGGAGGTCAACAGGTTTTTATTAGCAAGGGTATGGTGTACATGGGTCAGCTGCATGTTATTGGAATTGAGATACATAGTCAACATGACTGAACTGGATAATGGGGCAAACTTGAGGAATGAACAGAAAACTCCTGTTCTGATCTTCCAGCTGTCTAAGATACTTTAAATTAAATTGACATAATCAGTAACTTTATCACTGAGCTTACTGTACTTTATTTCTTTGATCAGCCATTGCCTTAATTTCATTTAAGGCATACATGTATTTGTAACAATTTCCTAATGATCACAGAATCAATTCAACTAATTGAAATCTACTTCATCAGAAAAATACCAGATTTATCCAAGTAAAAATATAACATGATAGCACCATATCATGTGCAGCACACTACAGCGTTGAGATTAGATTAAATAAAGTTAACTTTTAAACTTTTCAGGTTATCCCTACCTTCCTGAAAGCACCTTTGGCCAGACATAATCAGAGATAAACAAATTAATTAAAAGAAAATTGCCAATCTGATTCCAACCATTTATGTTTACCATACACTCCCAATTTACTTTTGTTCCATCATTGATGGTTATCCTACAAATGTCCCTACGGTTATGTGTCCCCAAACCCATGTCTGACTTGGCCTTTGGTAATCTCAGCCAATCTCCCTTATTGGGAGAAAGTCTGTTCAGTCGCACTTCACTGAAGTGCCATGCGATTTTACTTTTCATTAAAAAAAGTGACCAAATAAGTGTAGGTTGAGATACTTATTCTTTGAAGTCTCTCAACTTTTAAAGTATCAAAGCTATTCAGCATATTTAGAACCTATTCCTCAATCCATTAAACTTCAGAATAAACAAGAGGACAATTGTGAATCAACTACACCAAAGAAAAACCTACATCTGTTGTTTACTTGGTAGTTCTGCCTCATGTGGATCAACAAGGCGTGTTCTCCAAGTCGCCCAAAGCTACCATTACAGATTTTTCACTTTAGAAAGCATGTATATCCTATGACAAGTCACTCTTTTCCAGGACATATTTAATCGTAAAGATCGATCAAAGATAATAGAGGCATGTCTACCCTACTCTTCCGGGTGCACTTGACAAGCAAACCGCCGTTTCCTCTGCAGGAGTGAGCGGGTGTTTAAAAAGAAAGACACTGAATATATTTGCATCGCGCAACAGCGTCTCCTTCGATACGCGGCACCTTCGGGACTAGTTTAATATACGGCACTGAAACATATCCAACATCACACTCACTGGTGAGCAGCTGCCCAGGCTCCACCAGGCTGCCGAGCTCGTTTTTCTTGGGCCCTCCGTGTGGGTATCCTCCCCCGGCGGCACCGCCGCCGCTCCCTCCTCCGCCAGCAGCTCCTCCTCCGGCTCCCCCGGCTCCCGGCGCAGCCGCGGCCGTCCCGACTGCCAGTCCCGGGTGGTTTTTATTGACGACAAGACCGAGGCTCGCGGAAACGGCGCCATTGTTGGGATCCTCGTGCAGGAACTGACACTCGTCGCCGTAGAAACAGGTCTTGTCCTTAGCGTAGTAACGGCAGTACTTCACCTTGGAGCCTCCGCCCGGCAGTGGCCCACCGCCGCCGCCGCCGCCGCCACCGCCACCACCACCACCGTTCATGGCAGGCGGAGACGGGAAAAGGCTGGAGTAAGCCACCTTTTCAAACGGCGGCGGCCACTGCACGCACGGCCGGCCAGGAGGCAGAGCCGCCGCGGGTCCAGATCCGGCTCCGGCCTCCCTGCTTCTCCCACAATTCAAATCCGTGAGCCGAGGCGGAGAAGAACAACAACATTGGAAGGAAATGGAGCGGGCGGGTGGCTGCGGAAAAAAAACACACACAGGCTCCGATGCACCGGCCTCCGTCACTCGATCGGAGTGAAAAAAAAAGACGGAAGATGGCTAAATCGGATTAGGCTCAGACTCCCCAGCGGTGATATTTATTTCTGCCGATGGCGGGAGCTGCTTTGACCGCAGCTACAAGTTTTTCTCTCTCTCCTCCCTCCCCCCTCTCTCCTTGTTTTTTTTCGGCTGGAAGCGGCCTCCGCCGAGCAGCCAGCTGGCGCCTTAGTGCGCCTGCGCAGCCTTGGCGCATTCGCACCCAAGGAATCAAAACAAATGGTGAAGAGCGAGGGGGCGTTGCTATCAGCTGCTGCTGCTTCTTTCACTTTTTCTTCCCTCCACACCGCCAAGGTTAATGTGTGCACCTGCTGAGCATATCCTTAACGGTGTTTTCCGTCCCCATCTCGATCGATTATTGTTATCACTGCTATGTTTCTCCCTACCCTCCCCTCCCCTCCCCACCCCCACCACCTCGTATGCAAACAAAGAAGAGCACGATGTAAAATGGAGGCGTTTGAAGCCCAGCAGTTGTTCGGGGACCAGGACAGACCAGATAGAGACAAGGTGTTACAGTTAACGGAAGGATGGAGAATCAGAGGGCACCAATTCCGGATGATTGGCAAAATGAACCTTTTTTTTGGTTAATCCAGCAAGTGGTTAGGGCCTGGAATGCATTGCCAGAGGTGGAGTGAGATTCGTGGCTTTCGAAAGATAATTGGGCAATAATCTGAAAGGGAAAAAAATAATAGCAGGACTGTGGGGAAAAGACCGAGGATGCAGGGTAGGTGAATTGCTATTCCAGGAAGGACCGAAACCAAACAGGCCAAATGACCTACGATGTTATGACTCCATTATAATTACTGTACTAGTATTTGCAACTAAAGTGTGAAATCCTTCACTTGAAGGCTTATTGGTGTTATTCATTTCAACTCAAAAATCAATTACATTATGGTAGATGCTTGCTCCTGCTTCTTAAACAATTGCTTAAGAATGAATATAAAGGTTAGCCTTTACAAAATTTAAGTACAAGAAAAGGTTGTTCCCGAAGTCTAGCCAATGCTGAAGAAAGTATTTCTGGTTTTAAAAAGATCACAGTGCAACTATGGGTACGTCGGAAAGTAGGTTAATTTAAAAATGAGAAAAATCAAATTAAAAACCTAAGTCTATGAATGAAATGTTGCTGAATCTTGAAATAAGCATCCTACAATAGTAAGAAGAAAGGTAGAAATAGCCAAAGAGAGCTATCCACCTAATCTCATTTTCCAGCTCTTAGTCTGTAGCTCTTAAAAGTGCATTTCCGATTATTATTAAACCAGATGAGAATTTCTGAGTGTCACCTTTTCAAAGTTCTCAATCTGCACCATACTCAGTGAAAAAAATTCTCAACACCCCACCTATACCTTCTACTATTTACTTAAAATGTATTCCACATGCTTATTGAAACTCTGTTAACAGAAATAGCTCTTTATCATTCTGTCTACACACTTTATAATTTTATATACCTCAACTAAATAACTTCTTAGCCACCTCTGATCCACAGAAAGTAACCCTAGCTTTGACCTGAAGAATTAATTGTTGTTCTTTCCACAAATGCTGCCAAATCCGCTGACTATTTCCAATGTTCTCCGTTTTTGTTCCAATATTTATACCCTTTTCTCTTAACTAAAATCCTCATTCCTTGTAATATCAGAGACCTGCTGAATTTCTGCAGCGACTTCTGTTTTTGTTTGCTTCTGATCTGCAGTTCTTTGTTTTATTCTGAACAGTGGTAGTCATTGTTACTGATATCATCTCCTGTTATCTCCTGACTGTTTCCTGAAGATGTCTATATATGGTGGATCAGAGGTTAGCACTGCTGCCACATAGTGCCAGGGACCTGGGTTCGATTCCATCTTCATCTGTATGGAGTTTATACATTCTACCTGTGTCTGCATGAGTTTCTTCCAGGTGATCTGGTTTTCTCCCACAGTCCAAAGATGTGTAGGTCAGGTGGATTGACAATGCTAAATTGCCCAGGGTGTCCAGAGATGAGGATTGGTCATGGTAAATGCAAGGTCACACGGTCTGGGTGGGATGCTCTTCAGTGGGTCAGTGCAGACTGAATGGGCCAAATGGCTTCTTTCTGCACTGTAGGGATTCTATGATTGTGTGTTAGTTAGCAGCATCCTTTCGATGACATCCTTTCCCCGTTACGTTATTGAATTTATAGCTCTCATACAATAACATACCACAGGATCATCATCTGAAATGTCTAATTGGTACACCTAAGTGTCTGGAGAGTTCAGGAGCCATTTGTTAATAAGTAACTTCACAGTGACTGCTGGTTCTTGGAACAAGTTAACACAAATGTCACTTTGAAAGGACAGTACCATCTCCCTTTGTTCTTCAGAGGATTAGGGTTATGTTGCCAAGAATTAAACCTCAGCTCACCAATTCTGCATGAACAGATGATGCCTTTCTAAACTAAACACTTTTTGCCTCTCTGAGGTCCATATTCTCCTATTCCATGCATATTACATACTTTAAAGCAAAGTGACTGTTTCTGTTTAAGGCACTTTAAAGTTACAAAGCTAAGTAATAACTGTGTATTGAAATCTACAGCTGTTTTGTTTCAAAGTGCACTCACAGCAAGCCTTAAAAAATGGCACTCCGTTTGTCTCAGGCTAAATCTTAACCAGAAGCATATTGCTGCATACAAAAGTATAAGACTCTTGCCTTATATTGACCACAATTAATCACCATAATATCTAAACGATGGTCCAAAGGAACTTTCCTCTGTGCTGTAGATCTCTAATATAACCTTTCTTGCATAATCATTACATTTAACTAAAGTACAAAAATTGTTTTAAAAAAAACTCAATTATACAATGTCATCTGCAGATTTTGAAATCACGCTGTGTACACCACAAAGTCTAGGTAATTAACATATGTCAAGAAAATCAGGAGTTTTAACACACAATCTTTACTTTCTTGGCTTATCCTACTGTATGATCTCTTAACAGATGTGTCTAATTTTAGAAGTTTCACTTTTTTGCTTTCTAGGAGCATATTTATTCTTAACCTTGTCTATCTCCTCCTTGAGTAACTCCCAGTTTTCTAACACTACTTCATTTTCTAATAGTTGTTTCTGGTCCACTTTTGCCAAAAATATTGTCAGATTATTTAATTTGAGTGACATGCTTTAAAGACCTAGCTACCTCTATATTTGCACTGCTAGAAACAGAGTTGGATCTTTTGTTTTGTAATCCTGCCATTTTATTCCTGAGGATGTGTAAGACTCAAAATTTATATTTAAAGGAATACCTATCTGATGTTTCTCTCCAGATAAGACAGCAGCAATATTCTGAATTTTGTTTTGCTGTAGTATTGTGATTAGACAGAATTATCCTCAAATTTGTTGTAGGGAAATTTTTTGATGTCATAACTGTGAGCAATGAAACAAAAATCCAGTGGAAAAGAAGGAAATGCAGACACTTTCAAAGATCAAGAAGCAAATGCTCAAACTTATTTATTAATTACAGTAGGCTCTTCTTTTTTTGTAAAAATGTAATGTTACACTTTGTTAAATGCACAAACTGTATAAAACTATTATATAGGCACAGATTATGATTTGAGCAGACTATTTAGTAAAATAAGTTAATATTTTCATCAAATTAATATAATCTGAGCAAGACTGCAATTATTTCAATTTTCTTTTAAATGTACCCTAAAAATCACGCTGAAACTTAAATCTTAACAGTTCTGCTGCTAAAATGATCCTTAAATGTTATTTCTAAACATGTTAACGTAACACTGAACTACATTTTAAGTGCATGAACATAACTTTTGCATTATTTATGCTGCCACCAACTTCAAGAATAATAAATACTATGGTATTGAAGGAAAATTCAAGGTTGCAAAAAGTAAACATAATAAAATACATTAAGTATGTTACTGGTGCTTCTTGCAGTTAATCTCCTTTCAACTATTTAAATACTTTTATGATGCATTCAAGATTCTAAAGCTTTCACTTGAGTGCCAACAGATAGCTTGTATGGTGACAGGAACTTCTGTTACTTTCATGATATCCAAAACAAATTACAATCTTCAGAAATTAAATAGTTTGAAAGTCAAGTCTGTCTGTGGAGTTTGCATGTTATCCCAGTGGGTTTCATCCCAGACTCTAAAGATATGCAGGTTAGGTAGATTACCCATGGGAAATGCAGGGTTACAGAGATTGGGAGTGGGTGGGTGCTGTTTGGAGGGTTGGTGTGGACTTGATGGGCCCAGTGGCTTGCTTCCGTGCTGTAGGGATTCTCTGATTACAACAGGAGAAAAAAAACGAAGCCATGGCTTATCAGGAGCTGGGATGAACAGGTTTTTCTTAATTTAGTTAAAAGCTTCCAAATTTAGTTTGAGGGAGACCTTACTGAAGTCAGACATGAGAACAGTTTCTCCTAGAAAAAGGAACTTGATCAGAGCAGTTAAGGAATAAATTACTGAGAGTCAAAAAAAAAATTAGCTGCTTGTTTATTTTTCTTTCTATTGCGTAATAAACTTGTGTTTAATTGTTAAAACCAAATTGTAGCCTGGCATGTTTACACTTTAGTGAACGTTTGCCGCATTAAATTAGAAAGAGTGCAAAATATGATCCACTAAGTCAGATTTCATTCTAGGATCTGACTTGTCCGGTAGTAATATTAGTTGTGATCACAACAAATGGATCTGAGTTCACTGAATTTAAGAGAGATCTGTGACTATTACCCAGAATAGTAAAAATGAATGGCTAGAACAAAACATGTATAAAGAAAATAACAAGGTTTCATTGTAAAAGACTGAACCCAACCAAGCTCTAGTCAAAGATTCAAATAATCCATTTATATCTCCATTTCCAGAAAATTCTAAGCAACATTCAAAGCCATCTTCAAATTCCATGCAATAAACTTTACCACACAGCCATTTTAGGTCCAAAACTGTCATGTACCCCTTACTTTTAAAAGAACACAGATCAAGTAAATTCAACACCCAGATGAGCATACACTTGTTATGATCCCTGCTGATATTACTACAGGACGAGTCAGATCCCAGACGGAAGACTGGGTTGATAGATTTTGTATTCAAAGAGGCTGTCTTTCATGGAAACACAAGCATACAATGCTAAAAATTTGGTTTAAACAATGAAATGAGTTTATCATGTAAAAAGAAATGAAAATAAAATTGATAAAACCAGGCTACTTACACATAACACAATTTTAAAGATTTCACATGGTAAAGTTCCTTTCTCTGTCAAATATTTAGATTTGACTTTTATATGTTCTGCTCGATGGAAGAGGGTGGAAGAGAGTATAACTGAGTGAGAGAGGTTTCAGACAAGGTTGGCTGCTATCCTGAGGCATCAGGAAGTATAGATGGAGTCAGAGGTTGGAAGGCCGATTTGCATGATGGAGTGGACTGTGTTCACGACTCAATAGTCTCTTGTGGTCTTGGGAATAGCAGTCACCATACTATGCTGTGATGCATCAGATACGATGCTTTCCATGGTGCATCTATAAAAATTGCTCAGAGTCCTTATGGATATGCCAGATTTCCTTAGGAAGTAGAGATGTTGTTGTGCTTCCTTGACCGTCGCATCGACATGGATGGACCAGGAGAGATTGTTGGTGATCATCACTCTAGGAACTTGACATTTTCGACCATCTCCACCTCAGCACAGACAGGGTCGAGCCTTTAACTCTGCTTTGTGAAGTCAATGAGCAGCTTGTTTTGCTGACGTTAATGGAGAGATTGTTTTCTTTACACTATGCTCTCAAAACTGTGTGACCTTCGTCTCAGCTCTGCTCTCTGCAACTGGATCCTCAGCTTTCTGACCCAAAGGCTGTAATCAGTGAAAATAGGTAACTGCACCTCCTCCACAATAACACTCAACACTGGAGCCCCCCAAGGATGTGTCCTACTGTGCTCCCTGTACACCTGCGACTGTGTTGCCAAATTCCAAACAAACGACATCTACAAGTTCACTGATGACACCACCATAGTGGGACGGATATCTAACAATGACATGTCAAAATACAGAAGGGAGATAGAGGGCTTGGTGATGTGGTGCAATGAAAACAATCTGTCTCTCAACGTCATCAAAACTAAAGAACTGATCATTAACTTCAGAAAGAAAGGAGTAGAACATGCCCCCATCTACATCATCGGAACTGAGGTTGAGAGAGTGAAGAGCATCAAGTTTCGTGGAGTGACAGTGATGACCTGTCCTGGACTTCCCACATAAATGCAACACTCACAGAGTCACAATAATGCCTCTTCTCCTTAGACAGCTCAGGAAATTTGGCATGTCCATAAAGGTCCTTTACCAACTTCTACAGATGCACCATTGAAAGCATATTGTCCAGATGCATAACTGCCTGGTATGGCAACTGCTCTGCTCAGGACCGTAAGAAGGTGGTGTGCACAGCCCAGACCATCATGGAAGCCAACCTTCCATCCATGAACTCTATTTGTACAGCACACTGCCCCAGAAAGGCTGCCAACATCATCAAAGACCCATCGCACCCTGGTAATGACCTCCTATAACCTCTTCTGTCAGGCAGGAGATACAGAAACCTGAACACACACACAAGCAGGTTCAGCAACAGCTTCTTTCCGGCCATTATCGGATTGAGGCTCCAAAAACTTCTGTTTTCAAATAACCTGTTGGAGTATAACCTGGGTGTCATGTGATTTCTGACTTTGTTCACCCCAGTCCAACACTGGCACCTCCACATCAATGTTTATCAGAATAAAGAAGAGGTGATGTTTTAGGTCAGACAGTGCATGTCAGGTGTGAGGCCTTGTTGAGAATCTGCTTGTGGTTTGGTTTGGAGTCAGACTGGTTTTATTTCTAAAGTAGGAATTTATAAAACACAACATTGACTGACTGTCTATAAATTGTGCACTTTTTCAACAAAATAGAATGTATCTGCAAATACAAATTCACCATATAGATTCATGTGTGTGAGAGAGAGAGAGACAGTGTGTGTGTGTGTGTGTGTGTGTGGGGAGGGGGGCATGGGGTGGGGGGGGTGAAGAGTGTGTGTGTGGGAGAGAGAGAGTGTGTGTGTGTGTGTGGGAGTCAGAGATAGACTGTGTGTGTCTGTGCGCGCGTGTGTGTGTGTATATGAGAGAGGGTCTGTGTAAGAGTGAATGTGTGTGAGAGAGACTGTGTGCATGAGAGGATCTGTGTGAGTGTGTGTGTGTATCTATGTATCTGTCTCCCTCACACACACACACACACATTCTCTCTCTCTCTCACACACACACACACACATGAAATCTATAGGGTGAATTTGTATTTGCAGATACATTCTATTTTGTTCAAAAAGCACTCAATTTATAGACAGTCAGTCAATTTAAAAATAAAACTAGTCTGACTCCAAACCAAAACACAAACAGATTCTAAACAAGGCCTCACACCTAACATGCATTGTCTAACCTGAAATGTCACCTCTTCTTTAACATAGAACAGTGCAGCACAGTTCAGGCCCTTCGACCCACGATGTTGTGCCAATCTATTAGCCTACTCTAAGATCAAACTACGCTGCATACCCCACGTTTTACTATCATCCATGTGCCTTTCCAAGAGTCACTTAAATGTCCCTAATGTATCTCACTCTACTACCACCACTGGCAGCGCATTCCACCACTCTCTGTGTAAAGAACCTACCTCTGGCATCTCCCCTATACCTTCCTCCAATCACCTTAAAATTATGCCCCCTCACAATAGTCATTGCTGCCCTGGGAAAAAAGTCTCTGGCTATCCACTCTATCTACGCTTGTCATCATCTTGTACACCTCTATCAAGTCACCTCTCATCCTTCTTCACTCCAATGAGAAAAGCCCTAGCTACCTCAACCTTTCCTCATAAGACCTGCCCTCCAGTCCAGGCAGCATCTGCACCCTCTCTAAAGCTTCCACATCCTTCCTATAATGAGGTGACCAGAACTGAACACAATATTCCAAGTGTGGTCTAACCAGGGTTTTATAGAGCTACAGCATAACTTCACGGCTCTTAAACTCAATTCCCCTGCCAATGAAAGCCAACACACCATACGCCTTCTTAACAACTCTATCAACTTGGGTGGCAATTTTGAAGGATCTATGGATGTGGACCCCGAGATCCCTCTATTCCTCCACACTGCCAAGAATCCTGCCATTAACCCTGCATTCAAATTCAACCTTCCAAAATGAATCACTTCACACTTTTCTGGGTTGAATTCCATCTGCCACTTCCTTGCCCAGCTCTGCACCCTGTCAATGTCCCGCTGCAACCTACAACAGCCCCCCACACTATCCAGAACTCCACCAACCTTTGTGTCATCGACAAACTTACTAACCATCCTTCCACTTCCTCGTCCAAGTCTTTTATGAAGATCACAAAGTGCAGAGGTCCCAGAACAGATCCCTACAGAACACCACTGGTCACCGAGCGCCAGGCTGAATACTTTCCGTCTACTACCATCCTCTGTCTTCTATTGGATAGCCAATTCTGTATCCAAACAGCTAAATTTCCCTGGATCCCATGCCTGCTTACTTTCTGAATGAGCCTATCATGGGGAATCTTATAAAATGTCTCGCTAAAATCCATATACACCACATCCACTGCTCGACCTTCATCAATGTGTTTTGTCACATCTTCAAAGAATTCAATAAGGCTTGTGAGGCATGACCTGCCCCTCACAAAGCCATGCTGACTATTTCTAATCAAACTGTGCTTTTCCAACTAATCATAAATATATCTCTTAGAATCCTCTCCAATAATTTGCCCACCACAGAAGTAAGACTGACTGGTCTGTAATTCCCAGGATTATCCCTATTCCCTTTCTTGAACAACGGAATAACATTTGTCACCCTCCAAT